GGCGACCACGCACTGGCTCCAGGGCCGAAGCGTGGGCATCAACGCGGTTTCCAGCGACTTCACGGCCGTCGAGACATACCTGCGGCGGCGGCAGCTGCTGCTCCGAGGTGAGCCGCTCACCCTCCTGCTCCATAGCCAGGATCCCCTCAGCACCCTCTCCCCAGTGTCTCCACTCTCCCACTGGGACATTCACCCACCGACCCCCTCCAAAACCCTCTTTGCTGCCCCCCCTCTCCCTCCCCCCGCCCAGTGTCTGGGCACCCACCTTCCAGAGCACAGACGCCCTCGATTTAGAGGCTGTGGTGTGTGGTGGGGGCCTCTGTCTGGGGGAAATACCTGGGTGGGGCAAGGAGATCCTTCTCTCTGCACCCCAGGACCCCTGTTAGCCCCAAGCCTGGGATCCCTGATTCCAACGAAGGCCACTGTGTCACTCAGCCAGTGCCCCCTCCCAAAGTTTAGCCCACAGTGTTTGCTGGGGCGAGTTCTTCCCTGGGTTGGAGTTCTGGTGGCTTTGCAGGTGAGGGGAAGGAGACTTGGGTGAGGTCAGATTAGGCTGGGAGTCTCACCTGGCAGACCTCAGCCCCCCACTCTCAGGCCCAATGGCCGGCCAGGAGCAGAACAGGGGCCACAGAAAGGGCTTTGCGGGGCATGGGCCTCTTTGGGTGACCCTTCCATCCCCTCCCTATACCCATCTGTAAAATATGCAGGGCAGGAGGCTGCTCAGACCTGGTCTTGCGGCCTGGTCCAACAGCCCCCAGGTTTGGGGGACTCTGGCCTGACCGGCGTGGAAACCGAGGCTAGCAGGCATGGGGTGTGGCCGGAAGGGGCCCCAGAGGAACTTCCTTTCACCTGCAGCTCAAGCCAAATTGGGGCTGCTCTCACCCTACAGTCCCCCTGGTCCCACTCACAGGTGGCTTCTTCAAGACACTGGAGAGGTGAAGCTTGCCTCCTCTGCTGTCTGACCCTGCCCGTCTCGGGTCGGTGGGTGAATGTCACACCTGTAAAATGGAGCAGCGGCTGCCACTTGCTCACTATGAGCCTTCCTGTCCTGCCAGAGTCACCTCATCCTCCACCTCTTCCTGGCTTATGGTCCCCTGTCCTCTCTTGGCTCCACTTGGCCGTAACAGAGGGTTCCAACCCCTTCTTTCAGCCCCGGAGCCTCCTCCTCTAAGCAGACCCCAGACTGATCACTGAGGGGACAGCCTCTGCCCCACCCTTTGGGTCTGCTCTCACCACTATCGCGGGCTGACCCCGTCTGGTACGGCCGTCTCCCACTGGGGGTGCGGAGGCCTTTGGGGTGCGGAGGCCTTTCGGGGGGCGTCCCAGCGTGGCCTGAGCCAGACTCAAAGGCATAGCCGAGTTAGGCATGGCTTCGGGCGGCAGTGCATCTCGCTGCCAGGAGAGGGCGCAGGTCCCCCGTAGATCGCGAGGAGGCAACTCGCGGCTTAAAAACTCCTACGGACGGTTCTTCTCTCGGGAAACTGAGGCCCAGAGAAGGGTCATCCCCGCCCCGAGGTAACCTCGCAGCCCTGGACCCGGGGGTGCCTGGAGCTCCCCCTGCACTCGGCTCTGCCTGTGAAGGGACCAGGGCTGGAGGTGCCCGAAGCGGGCACAAGGGCGAGGCCTAAAAGTCTAGAGGCATTTGCCCGGGGCTGGAATTGGGAAAAGAAATGTCGGCTGGGGCCTAAGTGCTCTGGCGCAACCGAGTGGCGGCGCTGGTGACCCGGGAACAGGCTCCGGGAAGGGCCCGGGAGGGGAACCCTGGTTCGTGCACAGCCTCTGAGAGGGGCTTCTTTTCTCCCGGCACTGCGCACGTGGGAACGCGGGCCCCAGCTGAGCGCGGTTTGAATCAGAAGAGGGGGGCAGCAGGCACGGGGGGCGGGGGGAGGCCCCACCGACTTCCTCATCCCTCCCCATTGCACAGAGAGGGAAACTGAGGCCCGGGCGACCTAGGCTCTCAGCGCCAGGCCATTGCACACTACCTCCAGCTCTGGCTGGACACGTCCCGGTCAGATCTACAAATAGTGGCGGGTTGATGATTAAGCCAAAGGACCGAATGGTCTTTCTGAGTGACCTCAGGCCCAGGCCCGGCTTCCTGGCCTCAGTTTCCCCTCTCTACCCCCGGGATCCGCGAGAGGCCGGATCTGGTGTCCAGTGCTTCCGTTTCACCCCGGGGTCCACGAGGGCGGAGGGCTAGCGGACCGGGAGCCTGAGAGTTTGTTATTTTGCTCCACGCCCGGGCGGAGCCACGCCCCTCGCCGCGCCATTGGCGGATACCATTCCAGGGCGGGGCAGGAGTCTCGTCCCCGC